GCTTGAACTCCTTACACCCCAAAAAACATATCCCCCCCCCCCCCCATACACTCACATACCCCCCCCACCACAGAGTTTCTCCTTTTGCCACATCCTGCTCCCATGATCCATTTGTGGTCTGCATTAGGGGCTATGCCTATTACTAAATGTCATTCAGGATTCAAATGAGCGAAGGATGGTCTGAAGGGATGCATGGAACCACTGAAGAGCATGTCCCCACACTGCAGGACACCTTTGTATATAAATGATGACGACTTGCACAATGTTTATCCCATTGGCACTGAGGGAAGCCGAGAAAGCCTGTAGCTTTTTATTCTCAGCTACTCCCACCACTTATGTGCACGTAGGTAGATGGATCCCTGAGCCCCGGTGCTATTAGTGACATTAATGATCCCTGTCGCCCCGGCGACCATGAGTCATCGCTGGGCAGCCCACTCCTTGGACTTCGTCACAGGTTTCCATCAGGTTCATTCTCCCAAATAGCTCTCAGACTATAGGCTCGTGCTCATTAGATCAGTTCCTCCAGTGCTCGCCACACACGTGATCCTTCAGCCTGTTATTGAACCGTTTTTCTCTTCAATGAATTGCATTGTTCCTCTGTAATTATTTGCGCTTCAAATGTCCAGCTAGTTTTACAGCGTCGATTATCATTAGTGTTCGATATACATGTGTTCATTCATGCCGACGAGCGGCACTGAATCTGTAGGTAAAATGGGGACGTTTCCCAGCTTCCGCTATGTATCTAGCAGGGTTGCTACCCTTACTTACCCTGTGCGCCCCCCCCCACCCCATCTGTTAACAGGGTTCCGGGTTCCATGCGTCCCGGCGGCAGAAGTATGGGAACGTCTTCAAGACGCATCTTTTGGGGCGGCCGCTGATTCGGGTGACGGGAGCGGATAACGTCCGAAAGGTGCTGATGGGGGAGCACAGCCTGGTGACGGTGGAATGGCCGAAGAGCACGGCCACACTGCTGGGCCCCAACAGCCTGGCCAACTCCATCGGGGACATTCACCGCAAGAGGAGGAAGGTACTCCCACTGGCCACTGGCCACCGCGCTGCCTGACAGCCTGAACCCACCTGCGCAGAGTGATGTCCAAAAAATGTGTTTTCTTTGGTTACTGGAACAACTTGCAAGTCTCTCACCCTGCCTCATCTCCTCACTAATACGGAACGCAATCCTGTTCCTATTTCTTCTTCTCTGCTCTCCAGCCACAATTCCTCTCTGCCTTAACACTGGAGATAGAATCGAAACAGGGAGTTCCAGCTTGATGCATAGTTTATAATTCCTTTACCTCTTCATTTGGCTCAAATTCTTATGCTTTAACTAACATTTACATCGAAATCAGTCACAATGTCTCAGAACTTCATTAGGATTGTAACACCAGGTGCCAAAAAAGAACAGGATAAAACAAAGAAAGCCAGCCTTCAAGCTCAGAGACTTGTGGGAGCTGGTCTGTCGGTTAGTGTGTACGCACCTGTCCCACGCTGCAATGCAGCCTGGCTGACCACCGTGAGAAAAAGCACCATTTTTCGGAGGTTGGGGAGGGAAGAACAAGAGGAGCTCGCGTCACTGTCTCGCCCTGCCCAGATCAGGGCTGATACCATCCCCGCGGGTCAATGCCAGCTCCTCATCAAGCCATTACAGGAAATTGGGCAGGGGTTCTTTTCATTATCCCGGGGAAGCATACCTCTGCCCCGCCATTGTCCCGGAACAGAATGGGCCTGTCTGAGAGAGTCTTCCCTCCCTGCTCGAGTTTCACCCCACACACCTGTACTATTGAAAGGTCAATGGGCTGTAATCAGCAGCTAATCCCTGTGGCCTGGGAGGCCTCACACAAGCCCTAATGACCGGTAATTAGTCAGCCAGCATTTGGCTCACAAAGAAGGCTTTTTTTTTTTTACCTCTTCCTTCAGCTCCTCCAGTGTTTTACCCCCTCCTCCCAAGACGTAAACAGGCATCGGTTATTTTACAGAAAAAAATGGAGCAAATGGGTAGGGAGAGGGTGGGGGAGGGGGAGTTTCAGAATTTAACTTGAACTTTGACAAATCCAACATTCCGCTTGCGGGTCAAAAAAAAAAAACCACCAGGTCTATCCGCAGACTATTGGCACACAAAGCCTTAAGACTAAAACAACACTCACAACAATAACAATAACAGAGTAGCGACAGGACCGCAACCCTATTGGCACTAATCGCCCCCACTACTCCACCCTACCGCGCATGAGCCACGTTCCTGGGGCGTTCATGAAGCCGAACTGGAGGAGAGCAAACAGAGACACTTCATGATAGGCCACCCATGACACACAGCTGCCTTTTCTGCTCAGTAAGAAAGGCCAATTTTATGCAGTTTCCCTAGGTAGCCATACAGGAAAAATGTGAGTGTGAAGGGTTTTCCAGGAAAAAACTATTTGGCCGGGATAAATCATTATGACTATTGGTGATTCTTCCAGATACCTGATACTCAGGTTATGAAAGCCTATACATTTCAAGGCAACAAAGATTTCTAATTTGTATGCTTAAAGCCAAACTGGTCCATCCCTCTGTTCTGTATCTGCACCTTAATTCCGATTGTCCCTCACTCATTCTGTCTCTTTCTCTTCCTATATGTCTATTTTACATTTTCCCCAACCTGTTTTTATTTTTCTTTCGGCACATTTTCACCAGAGCGATCCCTCCTACCCTATTTTTAGAGATGGAGAAAGAGAGCAGAGCTTTTAGTCAAACTCTTAAACCGAGCTGCCAGACAGCCCATGTGAAAAAACACTGGAGAATTCGATACTGCCAAAAATCCAACAATTTCCCCTACTACGAACCGTACGAGAGGTCCGCCATAGCAGCACAGACACCCCTACGGTATTCTATCATAGTCGGGTTTCCTCTGGGTAATGGCTTACAAACCAGAGGTCATGAAACACACAATAATACAATTCTCTGCAAGTTCAAACACTGGTCCCTATTCAGAGAGGCCAGGCTCCTGGGTTAGCGGGTGATCCAGTGAGTCAAACAGAGTTCATGGTCCGACCGGTCGACGGAGGCTTTTAGGCACTCCTGGGGTATTTTCTTCCACACCCTGGCCCCCGCTGGCTCGCCCTCTGCTCCACCCAGTCCAGCTGAAATGAGGCTCCCGGTCGGACACGACGGAGGTCCCGCTACGACTCTAGCGTGGCGGAGAGAGTCTGAATGCGTGTGCCGACCTCCAGTGAGCCTCCATCCGGAGCCACTGGCGGTTTTCTGCACTGCAGAGAGGAGCTTCTCTTTTTTTTTGTATATTTTCTCGTTTCTCCCATTCTCTATAATTTACCATCTAAAACAGGCTCCTGTCATTGTTCTTTATGGTACACGGCACTTTGCTATATATTTAGGAGAGATGGTACAGAACAAAAGCTGCACATCTGAAGAGCAATAAAACAAACAGAGCCCAATTTTCAGTGCGTAGTCGTTTAGCTGTGGTTGTGCCCACTAGATCAACAAGCTGAAAGCAAACACAAGACAGTCCCTAAAAATGACAACATTATTTGATTACATTAATTCAGTGAATAATTCCAGAGTTGGCACAGGCAGCATAGAACCTGACACAAAGGCTAGACTGTGCAGTCAGACGGGCAGCAGAGTAGAAGTAGGTGAGACGGCACAGGAGCCAGCAGAGCCTGAAAAGGCTGTGCTACTGCATGCTTGTAGGTACCTCTCTGTCCAGTAGAGGGCGCAGCTCTTTTATTCTCCAGCTGTCTCCTTTCTGCCTGAGCTCAAATTACTGGACGAGGGAATGCCATGCAGTCAGCAAGGGGTTAAAGAACTGAAGGGGAAGGTTGTGCGAATAAAGGAAGAGGAAAATAAAAAAAAAACAAAGGAGGGATAGTCATGCATCGGTTAAGCCAGACACCCTGAATAAAGTAATATAATTTAGGATATATGGGTGACTCTGAATGTTAGCGTTAGCAGGCTGATGGCAGAGAGTTGCAGTTTATTAAAGCAGAGGAGCATCCCAGCTTCCCTTGAGGTGACGTCTGGAATCTCCCTGTCCGGCGAGATGTGTAGCTGCAGGCAGATACCCATTTATAGCACGCGTGTGTGTTTGAGGAGTGCTTGGCCCCTTTGGGGGAAACACGGAGACAGAGTTCTGCAGCAATCGCTGGCGTCAGGCCAGCCGGAGCTCCCCCTCGGCCGCAGAGTACTGCAGGTCATAGGTAAGACCCACCATTGGCTGCCAGCTGTGTGGCCTGAAGCCAGTCTGCCTTCCTCGTCCAAACCACCAAGTTTGATGGAGTTCTGTGCCCCCCCCCCCATTCCCAGGGGGGGCATTTCATTTTATCACAAGGCACTTTTTGTGATCGTTGTTGTATCGCTATACATAAAACATTTTGGTTTTATGTTGTTATAAAAGTTCATAACTGGTGACAAATGATTGAACCCATCCTGGTACGTATATAATGGCCCTCTTTGTGCAATAATATAGTTTTAAGAGTGTTCCTCTGGTCGAGGGCCTGTGTAACAAATCAGGCTATGATGCTGTCTCCAAGATCTGTATTGTTTTCTAAGGGAAGAGCCGTTTTCTCTGGGGATTCACTGAATGCATGTTCAGTTGTGAATCCCTTATGTGTCATCAACAGGGTTGGAGTTACACAGCACTAAGGGTCCCATGAGGAATTGTGGATGCGTTTTGTATATATCATATAACATATAAGACGATGGCACTGATTAATTGATATTCAGTGGAGCGTGTTTAAAGATGAACTGGAGGTGAACTGGAAATGAATACCCTTGCAACTGTAGCGTATATGACTCGAATAATGTGGAGTGTCAGGAAAACCCAACACGTGGAAGCATTTAGAGAAATAAAGCCTTCTCACACAGCACAGCTCGAGGTGCTGGAGCAAGCAATTCAGAGAACATCTGTACTGTCCACCAGTAATGAGCTTGCTCTGCTCATAGGTTAGGAACCCACTGTTAGGGTCCCAGACAGTCTCATTCTGAATCACCCTTAGGCGTCTTCTTTAGCTATACACAGGTCCATGGCACCCTGGTTGCACAGAATCTGAACGCAGGAGGTCGACATGACTCTCTGCCCAACTATGGGAGCCATTCACACTTCCAGTTAGGATCTTAGGTGCTAACACCAAAATGGAGTTTGTATTTGTTCCAAGAACTCTTGATTCCCGGTTCATACACTTAGAGAGGTCTTTATTAAAGGACTATGGGGTGTTTCAGCAGCTGAGGTTACTGTAGGCCAACATCAGTGTTGGCTGGTGAGTTTGAATGAATTTAGTAGCGAGATTTACGCACATCAGGATTAGAAAAACAGAAATGTGTTATTTAATGACACAACAGCAGGGTGTTCTTTTTGATAATAACTGCCTTGTATCTTTAACAGGATATTGAGAACAGACCTCAGCAGCTTGTTTCGTGACCGTTTACTTCGAGCAGCACAAGTATAACAGGCAGACAGGCGGACGGTTCCAATTCCCTGTCAAGGACGATGCACGAATTACAGGGGCAGATCTGTGCAAGGAGCTCAGAATACAGATGGACTTGTATGGCTGAGGCACTTTTTGCATTTCTGATAAGTGACAGACGACTCAGATTTTGTGATGGCCTGTGGGAAACGGGATGATATTGTTTTTTGGATAAGGATGAAGTAGTCATCTGAGGGTAGGGCAGGCTGGAGGAGCATGACCTCATCTACACCTTATAACCGCCTTAAGGTACAGGTGGAGATGGGCAGAGGGGGGGCTTGGCAACTGGCCGCAAATTCGGCAGCATTGCCGCTTAGCTAGGAATCGCGCAGCCCATGATGTCACTACTCCTGCTGCCATGGTAACCCAGCACTCAGTGCACCATTGTTCATTCACCCCAGGGGCCCTCCAGAGGACACTATATGAGAGAAAGACAGCAAGGGGGGAGACTAGAGAGGAAGAGAGAGAGAGCGGGAGAACGAGAGGCATACAGGTGGGAGAGGTGCTGGATGATCTAGAGATGAAGCTGCTCAGGTGAAGGACAAAGAGAGTGAAAAGAAGACAGGAGAGAAGTGAAGCAGAGACAGAACGTGTGGGGGGTAGGAGGGAGGATGTGTGCACTGAGCCCAATTGTCCATCCATCTTTACTACTCTGGAGAACCTTTGCAGGGTCAATGGTATTTGGGGCAGATGGCCCAGGGATGGTGCATAAAAAGTGCTATTGTTAGTGAGCTGGAGTTTTTAAGGGGAACATGGATGTTATTTCACCAAACAAACCATAGCGAGTGAAGTGCATTAGAAATGCAATGCCCCGGCCAGGAAAATCTTACCTTTCCTAGGGACTGCTGACAGAGAGGGAAACTCTCCCACTTGTATGAGTATGTTTCGCTTCTATTCAGCCTCAACGTGGGGAGAAAGTGAGGGAAAAGTCACAGAAGGGAGAGAAAAAATGTGAACTTTCCATTGAAAAAAATGAAGGCGTCAGGAAAGCTGCTTTCGTGAACTGACAGAGCTAGCGACAGTGCTGGGGAGATGACTTTATGACTTCTGCTTGGTTTCCATTTGTGACCCAGGCAGACCGAGGCGCAGAATTACGAGCTGATCTGCAGAGCATAAATGATGAGGGAGTCACCTGACCAGTGGCTTCAACAAGGGAGCGTTTGGTTTTAGGAGAGAGTTGCTCTGAGGGATCCGTGCTGGACCCTTGACGTGAGTCTCAGAGGCAAGTGGTGGAATATTTGGGCAAGTTCACTCTGCCTGTGATAAAGAATTTAAATAGCAAAGTAGAAGAATGAGAAAGTGAGCTACAGAAAATGACAAATGTCTTGTGAGCATGGAGGACAGGATCCAGATGAAGTAGGTGGTTGTGGCTGGTGTGTGAGCTGTGGTTTACCAAGTGAGCAATAAGCTACAGCGGATACTCTTCCAGTCAGACTGTGTTGTCTGCGACGCCGGAGTTGGGATACTAGAGAGGCCTGCTCAAACCCGAGGTTTCACCCCCAAGGATTAATCGTCAGGAGCTTGTTTGAATGTGAACCCTCTGGGGCTGTCTGTGAGTCAGAAATAGTTTGGGATCAAATTTTTGCTTCATAAGCTCATTGTGGTCTGTCAGGGACAAGACAGCAGACTGCATGAAAGAACAATGCCTAAAAACTGCGGTATATTTGTTAGAAAACATTAAAAATGTATTTCTTGGCACCTTAAGTCATACTGCTACTGTGTTAATTTTTTAGCAAAATGACAAAGGATGTTCAACTTTATCGACTGCATGTTGTTTCCATGAGTGCATTGGCTATTTTTAGGTACCCAAAGTTGCTTCCTACGATCATACCTGTGCAGACTCTCATGAAGTTGTTCTTTGAACCCCTAACCTATGTCCGTCTGAAAAGCCACATGCCTTAATTATTTTGCCACATCAGCAAGGGTGTGTTAAATAGAGGTCAGCTAGTGCTGTGAAACTGGCTAGACTTTTCACTTGCCGCAAATCAAGGAGTGAGTTTTCATGCGTGAACTAATGTCAAGTTAAAGCTTGACTGTCGGATCATATGTTCTAATCTTCTCATTTGGGGCTGTGTGGTATATTTCTACAAAGGTCTTCCTCTTAATCTTGGTTGTTTTATGGGAGCTAAAAAAATGCAGTTCTGCGGCAGTCATCGTTAACGAGGTAAACAAGTGGAAGTGTGCAGATGAATATGTGATGCGGTATTTGGGTATCTGCTTGCGTCTGTAACTGTGAGTGAGAGCGGGCGATGAGTGCCAAGTCAAAGTCTTGTCTCAGACCTCAACCATCCCAGGCAGCTGAGCTGTGGCTGCAGGCTGCGCTTTTCAAAGCAGGCGAAGAAACCATCTGCTAGTGTCACAGCATTTTGCCCCTGGTGGAAAGGATGTCTGGAGGTTTTTCTTGTTTTAGTGCTTGATCAGTCGCATTTATGCTTACTGATCCATGGCAGTGAGGCCAGTGTTCCACAGATGAACCAAAACCCCCCAGCAATAATAGTTTTAGCAAAGATGGTTGAAAGGCTCTTGGCCCAGTTGGTGTGATGTAACGCTAATCACATTATAAGGTGATGAGCCTTTATGACTGATGTCTGCCCTCCAAAGTGTCCTGAGCCCAACAGGAATGTAATGAAGTCATGCTTCCCCCATGCAGGTCTTTGCCAAGGTGTTCAGCCATGAGGCTCTGGAAAGCTACCTGCCCAAGATCCAGCAGGTGATCCAGGAGACGCTACGCGTGTGGAGCAGCAACCCGGAGCCCATCAACGTTTACCGGGAGGCCCAGCGCCTCTCCTTCCACATGGCCCTCCGTGTGCTGCTGGGTTTCCGCGTGTCTGATGAGGAGATGCGCAGCCTCTTCGATACCTTCCAGGACTTTGTGGACAACCTCTTCTCGCTGCCTATTGACTTACCCTTCACTGGTTACAGGAGGGTAAGCCGTCACTCAGTTGATTTCTCGTTTGTAGTACGAGGCAGTGGCTCGCAAATGGAGCATTTGAGGAAACCATGAAGTACTCATCAAATATTGGATTAATCAAAGTACTAGTCCTGTAAACTTTACTCTCAAAGAAGAGTAAAATACTCGCAGGTTTGAAATTTAGATAAGTAATGCAATATATGATTGTATAATTCTTTTGAAAGTATTCGACTGGAAAGTCTGCTGCAGTGAGTTAAATTGACCAGTGTTTGCAGTGTTTGTACAGACTAGGATGTAACTGACATGCATGATGTCATGTGATTTCCCCCCAACAGGGCATCCGGGCTCGAGATGCTCTGCAGAAGGCCATCGAGAAGGCCATCCGTGAGAAGCCACTGTGCAGCCAGGGCAAGGACTACACCGATGCACTGGATGTGCTGATTGAGAGCAGCAATGAGAATGGGATGGAACTCACCATGCAGGAGCTTAAGGTAGCTGGACGATCTCAATTTGAAATGTGACCATTTAGAGTTTCTTTAGTTGTTCTTGTGATTCTTGACTAGGAAGCACACCTGCATAGAGTGATAAATTTCCAAAACTCAGTCCATTTTTGCTGCTTTTGAGATGAGACTTCTGGAATCAGGCTTCCTCAATATGCATCATACATTAATCATATGTATTGGGAATCTAATCTCACTTAGTTCTCATGTAAATGAAAGAAGAACGTTACATTTCCAAAACTCATTCCACAAATTTTTCTTGAAAATAAATCCCATTTGTCACAGCGGAACTACTGAGAGTGGTCTCATTTTTATTTTGCATTTCATTGTAAAATAATCACCTCTTAAATTATTAATCATTTGTAATAGTTGTTATTGATAAGACTGGCATACAGTGGGAGCATGTCCCTATACTGGAGAACCATACTGGTTTTATTTCTTTGTGGCATAATGGTGATATAATACAGAGGATGTCCCCCAAGGACTTATATGTGCTGCTGAATAGCTTTTGCGGCAGTTAAATGTTAATTATTTAGTGATCTCTACTAACAGCCACAGAATGGCAGTTGTCCTACTGTCATTTTATCTTTCTCTCAGCAGTAGCTGGACAGATGCCAGTAAGTCCTACTTTTTGTGGTGATTTAAACATCGTTTCAATTTCCGAGTTCCGTGACTTGCTGTGTAAGCGAAGGATTAAACGGCGCTGTTGCGAATTGAAACAAGAGGCTCTTCTCAGATTATCGGCCCGCATTTCCATACCCAGCTGCGAGCAGATACCTCCATAATCCCCAGTTAAGTCAGATGTGCCGTTTTTTTTAACGAGTCGGAGGATTAGGATTTGCTGAGTGGGTGTCCTTGCCATTAATTGTCTGTGTGACAGGGGATGCTTTTTTATGGGGCTTCCAAGATGGAGTCCTGCCTCAGTAATCCTGTCTAGTATACCAGCAGATCTGCCTTTTGCTGTGTGCTGAGGGTTGGGGCACAATGGAGCAGACTCCTCCATTACCCTCCGTCCGCCGCCTCTGGGCAGTAGTTAGTCTGACAAACATGTGCTAACAATATTATAGGCTTTAGCATATTGTTTTTGACCCCTGACACCATTCAGTGTCCCCACTTAGGTGCGGAGTCGCTGTCTTGTCACACCATGCTGCCACAGCTTGTGTGAGGTGCGATGTTGCCCTGCTGAGCTCCAAGATTAACGGGTCATCCTGTTTTTCTGGGTGAATCCATTGCTGGCGACTGTGTGATCCGTTATCTCAGATCCGAGGGGCTACACTACGCCCCCGGTGGTCATCTTGCACGGCAGGCTTGTGCAGGCTTGCAGGTCACAGTGTAGCACGCCTTTGTTGAATTCGCCACGACCTTGTTTCCCCCTCTGTAAACCCGATAACCGACTCGCTTCCCCGCCTTGTGTCCGTCTTCTTTCCGGAGCTGAAGTGGCAGGCTTTTGTCTTTGCTATTCTCTCCCACTTTGTTAAACTGAGCAGCCCAAATTGAGTCCCCGTTCAGTCCAGCCTCCCCCCCGTGTCTGGATCTGTTCACCGTCCTAACCGAAGCGAGTCTCGCACTAGCTGAGGCGGTCGCACTGCCTTGCTTGCACTTTACGGACCCTTGTGTTAACGGCAGGCCCCTCGCCACATCTGCGCAGCAGCCGGCCGGCTCTGCAGCCCGTAGGACTGACAGCAGCTGACCTTCTTGCAGGGCGCCGGCTCATTGGCTTCTTATTCTTTGTCGTCCGCTCGCCCAGGAGTCGACGATCGAGCTGATCTTCGCCGCCTTCGCCACCACCGCTAGCGCGAGCACGTCGCTCATCATGCAGCTGCTGCGCCACCCCCCGGTGCTGGAGAAGCTGCGCGAGGAACTGCGCAGCCGCGGCTTCCTGCACAACGGCTGCCTCTGTGAGGGGGCGCTGCGGCTTGACAGCGTCTGCAGCCTCAAGTACCTCGACTGTGTCATCAAAGAGGTGCTGCGGCTCTTCGCGCCCGTTTCCGGGGGATACCGCACCGCCATGCAGACTTTCGAGCTTGACGTGAGTCCCGCCTCTTTGTATGTCCTTATGATTGTCACAACCCTACTGAATGACTTCAGTTGTTGAAGGCTAATATGTTTTAATTTGCACCCAAAATATGAGGCAATTCATCAAATTTGATGGACTACAGCAGTGTTTCCCAAACCAGTCCTCGGGGAACCCCGGACAGTCCACGTTTTTTCTCCCTCCCAGCTCCCAGCCAATCAGGATCACCGAATACCTGGTACAGGTACTTTGGGAGCTGAGAGGAAGCAAAAACATGGACTGTCCGGGGTTCCCTGAGGACTGGGTTGGGAAACACTGGACATGAAAGGACCCTCATGAATAGCTACACCTTAACAAATCAAAAGCTTACCTTAACTAACTTAACTGCAATTTGGGAAGCATTCCTGAATCTGGCCGGTGTCCTCATTCTTCACATGCGCTGTCTCCTGTCCTTCTTGCTCTCCCTCACTCTGGCTTAACAGGGAGTGCAGATTCCAAAGGGCTGGAGCGTGATGTACAGCATCCGTGACACCCACGACACCTCAGCCGTCTTCAAGGACGTGGAGAAGTTTGACCCCGAGCGCTTCAGTGAGGAGCGCGGTGAGGATAAGGAGGGCCGCTTCCACTACCTGCCTTTTGGGGGCGGTGTTCGCACCTGCCTGGGCAAGCAGCTGGCCACGCTGTTCCTGCGCCTGCTGGCCATCGAGTTGGCGGGTAGCAGTCGCTTCGAGCTGGCCACCCGGACTTTCCCCCGCATCATCACCGTGCCCGTCGTGCACCCCTCTGATGGCCTGCGGGTCAAGTTCTTCGGCCTGGACTCCAACCAGAACGAGATCATAGCCAAGTCCGATGAGATTTTGGGCGCCGCCGTCTAAATGGCCGGGAGAAGGAGGGAAGGTGGAGGACACAGGTATCATTAGAACCATTTTCCGTATTCCCGAAGTTAACCTCTGTGGACTTCAAGAAAATTATTATTTTTTGCATCATTGGACATTTCTGAGGAGGAGAACTTGAAGCTGCCAAAAATGTATAGTCTTTATTCATTTTCTAAAAAAAAAAACATAAAAAATAAACAACATATATGTAAGAATGAAAGTTATCTAATAACACATAATGCACAGTGTGGAGTCGGAATCTCTGGTGGGGGGTCGGTGGAGTAATGGGGACAGATAAGTGAGGGTAATCAGGGTATAAAAAGGCGTATGAAACAGTTAGGAAGGCACCTGCTTCACTGGGGCAGGTTGAAGGACGATTCTTTGGAAGAAAAGGACTCTCTGAGCGAGGAGGACCTGGAGAAAGTTCCTCATGTGCTGGAAGCCTGTCTCCATATATTCATTGCTGCCCCCAGCAGTCCAGACAAGGAAAAGACAGAAAGATGAGGAGGCGAATGAAGCTGGATGGACAATTAAATAACAGAGTATGATAGTAAGGAGTCTGAGTGAATTAGGTAGATGTATAGTGATGCAGATTATTTCAAGGAAAGGAATTAGTAACGTAGGAAAAGGAAGATTACTGGAAGAGAACTGTGCGAATCTCAGGTGTGAACAGAGCACAGGAGACTGAGGAACTCTTTCTGATTGTAGCTGACCTGCACGTAGACTGGTATTCGTCTTTTGGGATCTGTAACCTGTGCTTTTTTTACAATGATGTCACATTTTAGCTGGCTAGCGTTGAGTGTATGTCTGCCTGTGTGTGTGTGTGCCTGCGTGCGTGCGAGGGATTTTCTGGGCGCTGTGCTGCCGTTTGCCTTGAACTGTGTACCCAGCGAACATAATCATCTGTGATGGAAGAGGATGGAACACAAGCGAGGAAGAGAATGAAAACTGTCATGGTGCAGGGGTGGAGAACAGGAAGAGGAGCTCACTGCTGGAGAGAACAATCATGTTTCATAGAAATTCCTATGGCAGGACTTTCCAAGCTGGACATTATTAGAAAAAAAGCATAACTTCATAACATGGATGCAAAATAAAAATAGAAATGCATGAGGCCTCAGGGGAGAAACTTGGGAGGTGTAGGACCTGGGAGGACCAGGGAGGACCTGGGGGAACCTGGGAGAACCTGAGGGGAACTTGGAGGACCAGGGAGGAACTTGGGGGACCTGGGAGGACCTGGGGGGAACTTGGGGGACCTGGGAGGACCTGGGGGGAACTTGGGGGACCTGGGAAGACCTGGTCCTATGTGGTTATGGTCGGCTTTTTGAAGGATTTTTTTTTGTATTATGTTTCTAACAGATAATGTTTAAAGGACAAACATTATGTCTGTGACAAACACCACTGATAATGTTTTTTTTTTTTTTTCAGAAATAGTGAAAAATTCTGCTGCTTTGTGTACAATTCTCTAACTGAGAGTTCTAGATTGCTGAGATAGTTTGCAAGTGAGAATTGCAATTTGTAAGCAAATACAGGCATTTGTGAAATACAAGAGGGATCTGCCCATGGTTCCATTTTAGAAAGCCATAGAGTAACGCATTGCTACATTGTCTAATATCCTAATATTATTATTGTTATTATTATTATTAATATTATTATTGTATTAAATATTATTTTAAGTGCTATTTTGTTATATATTTCAGAATAGAGTTTTAGTATGAATAAAGTTTGTTGGTAAATATTGTTATATTTAGTATGATATGAATTTCCCTTTTATTGTAAACAGTGTTTAAATGTTAATATTGTTTTCTGTTATTCCAATAATAATTATTATTTTATGATTATCATTGCATTCATTTGATATTAATTAAAAACAGAAGCACTTGGGGAGCTATGTCAATATTTAGTGTTCTGTGACCATGTTTTCTGTGCTTTGAACTGAGTGTCTGTCAGTCTGTCTGTACATAAAATCTTTTCATTTTACAAATCTGTATTTCACATAGTTTAAATACTGTTTGAATGTATCCTTCTCTCTCTCTCTCTCTCTCTCTCTCTCTCTCTCTCTCTCCCTCTCTCTCTCTCCCTCTCTCTGTCTTTGGTACCGTGATCTTAAATGTACTTGGCAATTTTATAAACTTCTATAATAAATGCTAAAGAAAAACACAAGTATTTTGTGCTCTCTTCTCGAAGTTAAAGATTAAGTTAAAATAACGTGTAAAAGGCAGGGAAGGGAATTCTCAGACTCTCCTGGGACAGTTAATTTTGCCACATAAAAGTGATTTTATCCAAAACACCATAAAAGACAATGACTCCCCATCCCCACCTCTGCTTATTATTTATGATAATGAAACTCAACAGACCCTAAATGCTGAAATTTCTCTGGCCGTTATCTTGTCAAAATCATGCCTTACCTAATATGCTGATGTTTTCAGTCATGATATGCTTGGAGCACAGACATTTCACACATGTTTGCTTCTTTGTTTATTTATTGTCTATAATCACTTATCTAGTGCGGGGTCTTTTTGAGCTTGGAGTTCATGCCAGGACGTCTGCAAAGTAACCCCGACTGTCACAGGGCACACGCTCACAGATAACAACACATACATATTTAGAGACTCCAACCAGGTTTTTGGACTGTGGTTGGAAACCGGACTACCTGGAGGAATCCCAGTCAAACTTGAGCAGAACATGCAAACTCCACACAAATCAGTACATGGGGGGAATTGAAGAACTGTGGAGCTATGAGGACACAATACTATGCAGCAAGCCACAACACTGCACTTAAGACATATAAAAGAAGATAAATATTCAACTATGGGTTACCAGGTGGGGCAGACCAAGACTGGCAGGTCACATTTTCCCAGACTCTGTAATCTATAATGACTTATACACAAACTATATGGACAAAAGTATAGGGACACTCCTCTTAATCATTCAGTTCAGGTGTTTTATTCAGACCCATTGCCACAGGTGTATAAGATTGCATTTAGGTTTAAAAACATTTTTCAAAGAATGGGTTGTTCTTAAGAGCTCTGTGAATTCAATTGTTGTACTGTCATAAGTAGCCGCCTTTGCAATAAGTCAGTTAGATATTGCTAGATATTTCGCAGTCAACTGTGAGTGGTATTATGGCAAAGTGGAAGCATTTAGGAACAACAGAGACTCAGCCACAAAGTGGCAGACCATGTCAAGTAACAGAGCGGGGTCACTCTGTCGACTCAATAGCTGCAGAGTTCCAAATTTCCTCTGGCATTGACCCCAGCATAAACACTGTGCACTGGGAGCTTCATGCAATGGGCTTCCATGGCCGAGCAGCTGCACGCAAGCCCCACATCACCAAGAGCAATGCCAAGCATTGGATTATAATAACTCATAAGTTCCAATGAAGCTGTCATCTAAAATGCACTGTAGATATTTTCGTAATGCATTTTAATTATAAGAATTATGGATCATTTGTAAGGCATTATGAAGGTATCTATAATGCACTGTTGATGAGAGCTTCATAAAGCATTCATAATGCATAATACGCATGAGTATGTGTTATGTCTTTTTATAAATATTTGTAACCATGTTTATAATGCTTTATGAATGCATTATATTGTGTTCTGAATGTTTTCCCATATTCTCATAGACAGGGTATTCATACGAAGTGTTACCAAAATATTCTCCAGATCATTTTACCTTTTTTTATTAACCTTTGATACTTCAAAACTTCAAAACATTTTGACAAATTGCTAAAACAAAGTTACATAAATAATACAAGGAAGAAGAAAACCAATCAGACGCTTAATATACACAAGTTACTACAAGTTTAGGTTAAAAAATAAGGTCACCACTGGTGTGAAACGCCATTGCCTACTTTTTGTAGGGAAATAAAATGTAAATTAAAAACAAAAACTAATAAAATGTGTATTTGACGTCAGAAAAAAACTAATAAAAATAATTTGTGTTTTTGTAACTTTCAAAAGCTTTGTTTTGCATATTTATTTCAAGTGGGCATGGACCAGGAACAACCACGGCAAACAATCAAACAAACAAACAACTTCCAATGGGGACCATATGTGTTTTCCTCACCATTACATCAAAGCTTAAAACCAAATCACAAACCAATACAGAGGGACATTCAAAGAGGAGAAAAACAGCCAAATTCTTGCCTTTGCTCTTCTACACAGATTATAGGCAACAACAAACAACAGGAAGTTATATGAGGCGTTTTGGGTCACAAGGGAGCCATTTCGTATTTATTCATCAATTCATAATATCATCTTGAGTCCTGATGAAATGGCAGATCACAGCAATCCAGAAAATACTCTTCTGGCCTTTAAATGCTACGTCTGACACTACACGGCTGAGTAACGTTAAAGTACAACAGCCAGGGTTAAAGCTTCTTTTCCCACAAGATAATGCCGTTAGAAAAAAAATCACAATATCATAGATCAAAGGGATAAGTCTTGTGACAATGCTCAACTTTCTCAGGTCCCTAAAGCCTCACACTGTCACACATGTGCTGCTCTAACTGACCCTCAAACAGATTTGGCAGGCAGCATTAACAGTTCTGCATATTCCTGTCTGGTTTAAGATGCCTCAGGTTATCTTTTTAGCTGATAATCATTCAGCCTATCTTTGCGGGCATGCATCCACCTGTAGGATGAGCGTTAATCCGGGTTGCATTTGGTGGTTCGACTCAGTACTGGTAGGCTGAACCAGCGAGGGTCCTCACACATCTGTGGGGGGGGGGGGGGGTTCGTCTCTCAGATTCCAAATATGCAGAATCTGCACCATTTCATGAAATTGAAATCAGGAGTGTTTCTTTTTGCTATTGTCATGCATGTTCAATGGGGCTGCATGCCCTTCTGAATTCTGATGTCTCCGATTCCGCCCCTCTAGAACTGTTTGACTGGATTAATCGGCACAGAAGGAAGGGATAAGGAGAACACATGATTCAAGGGGCCAGACTCTTCTGTCGGGTGAATGTCAAAGCATCACGTTTCTTACTGTTTTAATTAAAAACAAAAGAAGGCTTTTTTCTTGCTTCTTTCTTTCAGAGGATGTTTTGGTGAGATGTAGCACCATATTTTAATTTCAAATGTTTTTCATGTGTCATTTGGAAGAAAACATAATGAAGTTATTAGCTGAAGTAATCTGCACATTTTGTTTCTGTTTATATTATTATTATTATTATTTAATTTTTTTTGAATAATTTTTTCTTGAGTGAAATTTGGTGAAGTGAAACGAAACTTCAAAGGCATGTATCTAGACGGTATGGCTTCTCTAGAAAGAGGCATTATACCGTCTGGCTATTGTGACAATGGAGACGTGTCAGTGTACTGTGTCCCATTGTGCTGGAAGGAGCCAATGCCTAAAGCTGTTTGTAGCATACAAACCCCTCTTCTGAAGAAGGTGGTACAATATGTAATTGCAAATAAACAGAGAACGCAGGTATTTGTCAAAATGGAAAACAATAATAAGAAGAGACTTTCTATCTTATTAGCTTTGTGTGAGGACGCATGGAATGCAAACCAGAACTGAATGGATATGATTTTCCCTAAAAACAGACAGGATGAGGTACTGGTTTCTCACCTCCGTGCCTCTCCACAGGTGTACAGAATCAATGCTTGGCAAAAATATCTGCAGGACTGTCTTTGCTTAACTGGGGACCTCTCATGCCTGTGGATATGGAGGGGGGGGATCAGTGTGGATGTTATATGGCTTCATATTGAGGATTATCTGTAAATGGGTCCACACCGTCAAGAGAAGATGACATGAAAAATACTATGATATGAAAGGAATTTTTGCCCACATTTAAATACCCTGAGTTCAATGTTTTTCTACACAGGTCACAACACATTGGATTATTGCTTAACCTGAAAAGATATGCGGTGACCTGTGAGTATTACAGGGAACTTAAGTCCCCAGGGTTCTGTATGAATTAACTTCCATGCACATCAATGAAGAGGGCAAGCCAGCTTCCAGTGGCACCAAGAGCAGTTAGAACTAAGAGCCTCACAGCGATTGCTGGCCATGGGATTCAACCCCACAACCTATTGAGCACAAGCACAGAGTCTTATAACCTACTGAGCGACATGCTATCCCTTATGCAATGATTTGAATGCAAAGCACTAAGGGGTAAGCTGACATAAAACTGAAGGAAGGTGAGTGAGTGAGTGAGAGATTCTGAACTGCTGCTGAACTCCAGGGTGTGTCTCCAATCCTGGGCAGGTGCAGGAGTGATACAGCTTTTCTGGAATTCACAAGCTCCACACCTTGACAGCTGAACACACACACACACACAAATTGTTTTGTATCTGTGAGTTCCCACTGATTTCCATTTTAACCGTCAAACTTGAAAAACATATTAAACTGATAAGAAACAAAAACCTTTTTTTTTTTTTTTTTACACTTTTTTCCTTTAAATTGAATGCTATTGCATTAATAAAAAACACTGTGTTACTTATGTGTGTTTTTCAGTGTCTGCTATGTTGAGGGATAGATGTCCTGTCAAGCAAAAAAAAAAGTCTCTATAACATAGCTAAACAAGTATGCATGTGTGCATGCACGTGCACGCACACACACACACACACACACAAACAGTCGTGTAATCATATCTTTTTTGGGACTGCTCATTCATTTCTATGGGAAAAATGCTAATGCTAACTATGACAACCTTAACCCCTACCCAGCCCTAACCATAACCATAAGTAACCAAGCAAAGTCAGACTCATTAAGAAAAAGCAGCTCATATCTTCTTGTTCCCACATGCCAATCTTTTATCTGACAGGGAGAACCTCCAGAAATGTTTCAGAAGAAGCGCGCAAAGGTTTGCGGAAAAAGATATGAATAAGTGCAAAAGTTCATGGCACTGCAGGGTATTCACTGCGCTTGTGTTACGGTTAAAAACACAACTTAGTCAGAAGGTAAACAACCTTTCTGACAAATGAAAAAAAATGAAATCCTAACACTGCCGGAGCATCTGCGTACTGTATCTGTCACGCCTCACTGAATGTCATGGCATGATCGGCTCATGTCAGACACATTCTTGGGTTAATAATACTCCACTCCATGTGTGCAAACAGCAGTGTTTTGATATGCTGAACTTAAGACCTTAGGGAGCTGTTTATAATTTTGAGTAGGGATCCCTCTATTACACCATAGCTACCTCTCTG